CATGTTATATGGTTCAACGCGTTTCACTTACATAAGACATCTTTCTCGGTTCACCTCCATAGACGGACACAAAGAAAAAAACACTCACACACGCGCGCACGCGTGTGTACATACGTTTTAAAAGTGCATACACTTATTAATGCGCATGTTCGACAATTAATGAGTTATTTTAAGTTATATTCCTCAGTTATAACTGCTTTATTCACATCGTACATGAACACATACATGCATGCATTATTGCGTCATAGTACTTGATATATATGCATATCTATTTATCTAACTCTTTCTACATATATATGTGTGTGTGTATATGTGTGTGTATAGAGAGAGAGAGAGAGAGAGAGAGAGATTTGTAATTTATTTATTCATAAATTTATCTTCAGATAAGACTATATTACATACGTGAATAATTTTTCTCCTTCAATATTTCAGTAGCTATTCACTCACTTTCGCCTGGCGTTGAGTTAAAAGAATGGGACCAGCAACGGAGTAAATAGTCCGCTAAGCATAACACTTCATAGTCGGCGTTTGCTCAACCCTTCCACACTTCTGACTTATGCGAGCATATTCTTTAGTTCTGTTGAAAATTGGTTCAGCACCGTAAAACATTATAGACACCCGGTTCCCTCTCTAACTTACTTCCGCATGGATACGTATCGACATACATACATACATACATACATACATACATGCATTTATGTTAAAAAAAACACCAAAAGCAAGCATATATATTTTATTGCAAGAAATTTTTATGTCACTTTATATTAAACAGCTAATGTAAAATTAAATGTTTTTTTTTCAAATTTGCTAATATTTTTTATTACATGTAACAATACTGATTAGTATTTTCGAATTCTTCTTGTAGTAGTCATTATCGTTAAGAATTTAAAATGTGTTCCTCTTCACCCAAATAACATTGTCACTAGTAATTAGTACATCTAAAACTAATTTAAAACTGTAGTATAACTGGAGTATAATCCTCTACGGGATCAGGCGTGAGATGTGCCAGCGCCAACATTACGTGAATGTAAAAGTGATATAGGAATCTATTTGTATGCTAGTTCAAGAAACTTTAATTGACAATTTGATTCTATTCATGTGATATGGGGAAAGAACTGGGTAAAAACTAAAAGCATATAAGTTAAACAATTGCTGATTGGAACAAGTTCGCTATTCGTTGCCAACGTCATCTTTGCTTTTTCTCGCCTGTAAATATCGATCTTTCAAGTATCACACAGCAAAAACATAAATAATAAAATAAAATAAAATAAATAAACAACAGCAAGAACATCAGCAGCAATAACAATAATAATAATAATAATAATTTACCGGCTAACGCTGATTATATGAAGACTCTTGAACAAAAATGGTGAGCTAAACTCTTGTATGGAAAGTACTCAATGCGTCTGGATGAATATACGTCGATGTCCGCCAAACCCATCAATAGCGAAGAAGTAATGGTCTTAAGGAGGAGACAGAAGGCCTTATTATGGTATCACAAGACCAATGTCTTCCAACTAATGCTTACAAGGCTAAAATCAACAAAGCGATAGGAACTGCACATATTATTCGAAAAACCTTTCTCCATTTAAAGGAAACGTTCCAAATGTGCATAGATAACTCTCCTACAGTACCCTTTTTACTCGTAGATTCCTTTAATAAAACTTGGAGCCGATAGAAATTGAAATTGCTGAAATTTCTTTAAAATATAATAACTAAAAAAGACTTGGGGAATTTGACACTCACGGCATAACAATGGCAAAAGAAACGGTGACACCTGCCTGACGAGCTAGTGTGAATGGAGTGCGGAACAAAGGTTGGGGGGTTGGCTGGTAAAAAGATAAACGTTACCAAAAGCTACAAGGGATAGGGAGTTGTGGAGAACTATGATTTCCCACCTCCTGAAAAGATACGGCATATAGAAGAATATCAAACAGTGGTGACCAGAACAAAATATATGAACACTGTTTTAAAACTGTTTATGGGATAATTTAATTCCTTCGTAATCAATTAGCATATCAAGAAAAGAAATATGTTATATATAATAAGTAATATAAATTACATTTTGACTGTGATTAAAAGTAAATATGTCATAAAATTCTGTCTCGTCATTCCTTTTTACAATGTCAAAAGTAAAAAAACAAACGGAGAAAAATACTGATTTTATTCAATAACTACACAGAAAACATAACATATAACACTAAATAATTTCAAATGTAATTCTTCACATATCTGTTTGTGAGGATTTACTGGTGTAAATAATTTTATTAATTTATTAAGAAATTCTAATTTGAAATGTGGCCAAAGAATATAATCTTTAGTGGCGGATTCGATTACGAACGGAAATTCATTCCACGAGTTATTGATAAAATCCTGGAAAAATACATAGAGAATGAGGAGGATATGTATTTAGTAAAATTACAAAATTGCGGCACAAGGCCGCAGCAATAGTCTAAGCGTAGCTTAGATGTAGCACAAGGCCGAATGTTTTGAGCACCCAGTAAGAATCGAACTCACTACTCAGTTATAATTGATCTAGCGAAACAAATTTGCTATTACACCACGTTGAAGTACCCTGAATAGAGAATGAGGAGATATATGTGCGTATTTGATTGGGTGATAAAACAATCATTTTATCTTTTCTAATTTTTTTCTAAGCACATAATAGTCATTTTTCTCAACAGGGTAGAGTAAATGTTTCAGAGTTTAAAAATAGTACATTAAAAACAGACCAAAACCACATAGTTAAGGGTTAAGTTTCTCGACATTAATTGTATTTTTATCCACATATATTGTATTAAGGGTGTAGATGTCGTTCCATAAATTCCTGTCGTTACTCACGTTTTCTGTCTTGTGTATTCTCAGCATTCGTCACTAGAATTACATCTCTGTCGCTTCAAGCCTCTTCTTCATCTCGTATTTATGACCATATTGGAGATTAGATACCACGTAGCAATTCACTACTATTTTTTACATTATTTTTCTATCTCTTAATCATTTGCTTATTGTTGGAAGGATCTTTCATCATTTCTGTACGCCTTGGTGTCTCTGTCACACTTTACAACGTCAGTAGCCAGATACTTAAACTTCTGTACCTGCTTGATTTTGACGTCACCAATATTTAATTTATACTTTGGGCTTTCTCTTTTGCTGGTAATCATGCAACCTCTCTTTTTACAGTCAGTGGTTAGTCCTTTCTTCTCGCATTCCAAACAGTTCTTTCAGTTTTCTGTCTGAGTTTCCTATCAACTCCGTGCCATCTGCAGATCTAGCATTGATAGGATTATTTCACCCGTTAATAGAATTTCTCTATTTCTCTTAGGATCCTCTCGCTTTAAAGGTTAAATAAATCCAGTATGGAAACAAACTAACACACAAACATATATATATATATATATATATATATATATATATATATTCATTCAGTGAACTCAAAACTCTGTTCATTTCTAACTTCAAATTCTAATCTGTGTTTAGCTGAACAAATTCATTTTTCTCCAACTTTAGAGAGAGTAAGGCGGGAAAGTGGGTTGCAATTGAAATGACACATGAAAACCAATAAGAACAGATCATATGACCATTGACTCACGTTTGCCTCATAAAACTCTTCAGCTACAACTGGAACAGGTGAAGGAGAAAACAAGGAAAGAATAGATTTTGATTTATTTATCTGCTTTTGAATAATTTGTTGGTATGAATGTGTGTTGAGGAGCAGTCATGGGTCTTTGGACAGTTGTTTTATTCATCTTGATTTGATATGAAATATAAGAGATCGTTAATTTGCTATTTTTCTTGTGTTTTATTTATCTGACACCGATTTGGTACTAATCAAATTTCATTGGCCATAACTTTAAAAGAATGAAATCCATGTTGATATGTTTCAGGCTTTTGAGGTAATGCCATTTATATATAGAGAAAATGGCCCTAAGAATTAATAGGGGACAAATATCCGGGATTAATAGTTTTCTCTTTACAATTATAAGAGCGACAACGGCATTTTTGTTCCTATATACATTGATGTATTCACATGTTCGCGTGCGTACATACATTTACCCATTGGGCTTGTTGCTGCTAATTTGTCTATAGATACTCACAAATAATTATATACAAGGAAACCAAGACGTGCTTGTATGTAATGAATTAATTAATATTAGATTAGCAAGAAGTAATTAAAAACATGTTTTTAGGTGGGTATTTTTTATAAAGATGTCGGTATACCCATATACAGAGTCTAGCAATTTTTTTCATGCAAAATATATATATATATATATATATATATATATATATATAAGCACATATTTTGTTTCTCGGACCTTTCTAAATCAGGTATATTGAAATACTAAAAGGAGCGTTTCTATACAATCAACATTTGTTTAACAATAAAACAGGTTTTGTTAATATTTTGACATTTCCTCTCATCATCCATCAACAAATTTCATCATATTTTAATATTTGTTTATCAAATATTGAGTTGTTTATTGAACAAACACAAGGTCCTGTCACAGAATTCTTAAAAGGCCCAAAAAACGCATTCCAATTAATTTGAATGCTTTCTTTCAACTTAAGTTTCGGTTTTATCTGAAAGATAAATGCCTAACGCTAATCCGAATTAAAAGAAAAATTAATTTACGTATACAAATAAAGTTTTTAGACAATTTTAAAAAGTTGTGGCGTTCGCGCATCATTCATCGATTCATCGAACCGCCATTATAGATGAAAAATTTAAAAAATATAAAATTTCACTAAAATCTAATATTTAGCCTAGAGATATATTTCCCAGTTTTTAGTAAATTTAAGCACATACATTTTAAACTGGGGTTAGCGATTTATTGCTTTCATTTCGGAAAAAAAACACATCCATTTTTTGGGGTACCTAACAAGCACATATTTGCACTGATACGTGAATAATTATCGTTTGTCATACAATTTAAATATAGTTATGTTTTTATCGCTTGTGTTAACCGACGATTTATATTGAATTCATTTGTTGCTTATTCCAGTGAAGATGTTCTTCAAAGAACAGAACATATTGGTGAAGGAGGAAATCTCGTGTGGACACTTTGTCTCGTTCTCTTAGCCACTTGGATTATTACTTATTTCTTCGTCTTTCGTGGAGCCGCTTGGATTGGAAAGGTATTAATACTTTATTATTTACATATTTATATTCTCATTTGTTTTGATTAGCTTTAATCAGGCATAAGATATGAAATAATAAAGCACTTATAAATTCGACCATACATTTTGAAGAATATAAAATTAAGTGATTTATGTATTTTAATAATGTAGGAAATAGACGTAATTGATTTTTGTTTTAAAATGAGAAATACCCAGTTTTCCAACGGTTGATGTAAACAATAATCACATTTTATTTTTTAGTTACACAAAATGCAAGACAAAAAAAAGGAAAAAGTATTTCAATAAAATCTGTGTTTCACTATTAACAAAATATATTTAACATGGGAAAACCTAATTAATATCATGTTTCGTATAAAAATCCGATGCAAATATATTCCCCCATCTATGTTTTGTCTTAATTTTATATAAAACATAAAATTCAATCTAATAAACTATTACTATTGTTTAAATTGTTATTTTTGATTTGCAGTCACAATGTCTGTAAAAATAAATATATATTAGTAAAATATAACTCATATTCATACTCTGCTACTTAATTTATCTCCAACAGCTTTTATGTACACAAATTGCACTTTTAGCTTTCAAAATATTTAAATGCTTAGACACGCTTGAATTTTGAATATTTTCGAAATATAAAAAACTAAGCTTATTTTATTTTCCTGTTGATTATTTTGTACCAAATTTAATGAAGAAATATCAACATGTTGTTTCATTGAAATCAGAGTGCATTAATAATTTTAACAAAAATGCTAAAAAATATGTTTTCAAACGTTATGCATTATGATTATTAATTACTGATTTCAGAAATTTAATTCCAGTGATAATTTCACATTGTTCCAGAACATACACATTTTGGGATTTCCATTGTTTTCCAGTAAAAGTTACTGAGAGGAATTCGTCTATAATAGTTAATTCCTTTAACAGCACCGGTCCATTACACTTAAGGTTCAGGTTATTCTTTTATCTCGACGGTTAAATACAAAATTCCTAAGGCTTTGATGAAATATAATATTGCCTTTTAATCCCTAGATGTACCAAAATTGTATCTCTACTTGTTTGACTTTTTAACTTAGCATGAACGCCTACATTATCCGCACATGTAGATTTCTGTAAATACACCGTTCCTTCTATGTCCATATTATTACCTTTGCTGATGAAGTTAGACAGAGGTAATGGGACAGAAGGGGCTAATGCCCACCCCAGAATTTTGGTTGTCCTCTCGGTTGCCCCCCCCCACACACACACTTTTCTAAGCTTAAAAAATTTATGAAACTGATCAGTTTCTGATTTTGATAAGATTTGATCTTCAGTATTTTCCCTCTGCGTTTTAGCTTTTTATATTACATTCACATCTGCGAAGATCAGGCAAACATACAAACAGAGACCAGTTTAGCTGCGACGATATCTCTGACTACGTTTAATACAAAAATATTTCGATTTTAGAGATATCCGATAACCAAGCACATCCGCTACAAATTATCCGGTTACCGACTATAGCCCGAGTCCGACCATTCAATCAAGCTTACATTTTTTTTGAGCTAGTAGTAGGGTAAATTGACACTGCTCTTTATGAAGTGAATTTATTTGAATTTTGATGTAAAATAATTTACTTGGTATGTTAACTTGGGCGTGTGTTAATCCAGCTGCCCTATTTGATGTTTTGTTTCAGTGTCATGGAGTAATTATATTATTTAAATTATTTCCTTATTTCAAAGTAGCTTCTTGATCGTATGGGCGAAGTTTGCCGAAAACATTTTTTTGTACGCCTCTAGTGCCCACAGCATTTTGATTGATTTTGTTGCATTATTTTATTTTCGCATTTATTTTTTGTGCTTCGAAACAGTTTTGTAGAGGAAAAAAAATCAGAGCAGACAAATTACACTGTTCTACTAGTATTGATGTTAGTAGTAACCCTCTGATTTCGTTTTGAAATTAACTTCTCTTGTGGTCCATCAGCTTGGGAGTGGAAAAGAGATCAAGAATAGATTAGAACTCCATTACTATGAATGAAAAGTGATTTCGTTTAATTTAGTAAAGTAACACACTTATACTAAAACTCATTCCTAAGCTGTGTATACGATAGTGGTGTAGTAAGGAAATAAAGACGCTGCTTGAATTTGCGCCTCCTCCTCCGTAGAAAAATCTCAAACCTCAAGTGCCTCCCCACCCCCTTTCAGAGTTCCAGAATCGCCACTCGACAGAGGTTATGTGTTTACATATTTTTGTTTGCCTGTCTCTCTGTTTGTACACAATATTTCTAAAAGTTCTCATAAATTTTAATGAGATAGACAAAGGAACAATTGATTAAATTTTGGAACGGATTCAGGGATTTTGGGGAGATAAAAACTGGAAAATTGCAAAAGCAGAATTAATTGAATTTTCTTTATATAGACATGAAATACTCTAGATTTAGCTTTTAATTTATAGAAATTTAAATACCTTCTTTTTCATCTGAATCTTAATCCAGTGTTTGCTCTACAAATTTTATTAACAGTGTTGTGATATAGATATTATTATTGTTGTTGTTTTGCCTTTGCTTTGTGTAGTTATTATTATTATTGTTATTACTTTCAGGTTTTCCTGGTTGTATGCCCACTGACAATCTTTCTTTTGGGCATTGTCCTCATTTATGGCCATGCAGTTGTACCCAAATCCGAACAGACTTTCAGTTACATGTTTCTCGGCTATTTTGACATTTCACAAACTGAGGACCAAGCAAAAAACGAAGTGGGAAATGCTATACAGAATCATTTAGGAGACCCACGAGTAAGTTCACCATGAATACAAATTATTTGAAGGAATTGAGATTAAGTACTCGGTGATCGATAGATAAAAAATGGTAATAAATAGATAGATTGATAATCAATCCTAACAGATGATAAATCTATTCGCACTTTGTATAGAATAAAAAAATAACATTCAAATCTTTCCTCTTCCTTTCGAGCCTCTTTCAATGAAGTTTGTTTTGAAAATTAGAAAGTAAAAAGTGAAACCAAGATGTTTAACATTTTCTAATAAATCCTAAAAGTCAAAATATATATTATATTAAAATTATAACGTCTTAAATTCATAGGTTATGATTGTGGAAATTAATGGTAACTTTAGAAAATATGCATCTATTTAATATTGAATTAACAACATCGATCATTTATACGTTTTAATTCTTTTTTCTCATTAATGTTTTCAAAATATTAGATAGTCAATGTAATTGTAATGATAAAGTTGATGCCAACTTATCTTAACATCATAGAAATCTCCAAACCAATATCAGTTTTTCTCTGATATCTGGCAAGGTTGCATATAACAAGGCGACATGAATTATCGGAGTTTAAACGGATTATAATAGCGAATACCAAATGATAGCCTTTCGTAACTCCCTCAGCAAGTTGATATAGCACTCTCCATTAATGGTGGGTCCCTTTTGAAGATATTCAATAAACAATGTCTTTTACATCCCAAAGAACAGTGGCCATCAGCTTCCTTGCAGATGAAACGATAATTTTTTATTATTACACCCGTCTCCCTTATTAACCCAAATGCGCATGATCAATTCCGCACTTACTTCACCATCAATGTTTATGTGACTACTTAAAGATTATAAAATAATAGTCGGGGAATGAGGCGAGTGTTATAGTAAAATAATTCCGATGAAACGATCTTGGCATCTTTGGAGCATGTGAGGAGAGATGGATTGTCTATTTGTCTCTAGCTCAAAAGGATAAACCCAAAACTCATCCTGGATTCTTAACCCTAGATGAGTGTTGGGTTCTCAACGTTCAAAAAAACCAGCTGGATGTGTCTCAAATAATATCAGATTTTCTCGTGATGTGATCAGGCTGGTGCACTTTTGATTAGGTGTCAGAGGACATGCCATCCACTGAGCAGAAACTTTCGTCATACTAAATTCATAGTGCAGAATATTCTCAACTCTCTCACAAGATATGCTAATAGCTTTGGCTCTTTTATTTATAGTCAATTGCCTGTCATCCATCACCATGTGGTGAACATGATCAATGTTTTCCTCGGTAGGAGTTGTAGGACTTCCAGACCTGGGGACATCGTTAAGACTTTCCCTTCCCATCCTAAATTCAGCTGCCCTCTTTTACACTGTTGATAAAACTGGGGCATTACTCCCTAAAGTAGCATGAATGCCCTTGGAGACAAACCCTTTTCTGCCGGTACATGATAACACCATGATGCCAAATTTTATCCAATTCTTGCGCAATTCGCTATTTGTTACTTTTGAAGTTTTCTTAGAACAGACAGATGTCAGTTTACCTGGAAAGAAACAATGCAGTTATACGAAGAGTTGAAATTAATGCATGCAAGATTACATAGCTCTAGCATCACTCCTTCATACTCAGGTCACCCTCGTATTTCCGAAATGGAAACATTTGTCATTCCTTGATCTACAGAGTCATTTGTGTATCGTGAATATTTGATAGAATAATTACCTACTCTTGACATGGTAGCGGCCAATTACGGGACCTTAGTAGTCGTAACCAGAGGCGTCCAGCTAAATTAATCGATACTTGCGAGTATAGTAAAAAAAAATAACCATCAATATTGAAATAAACAATCGAAAGTAAAACGACCCCCAAGAGGATTCAATAGTCAAAGTAACTGAAAATGAAATGGTGTGGGCACGCTTGTGAAAAGGACACTATAAACCAATCTAGAATACTGATTAATGTCATTATAGAATATGTTTAGTAGAAAAAGCGACACAAATGTCAAATGTGACATAGCAAATATTATGGTAAATTGCGTGTGTTAAAAGAGAGAAAGTGACAAAACTATAAATCATAACAAACGAATACACTTGAAATGACAATATATCCATATCATGTCTTTGGCTCTGCAAATAAATTATATGTACACAAGGCAGAAACTGTTCTTGGTGATAGAAAAGTAAAATGCACTGAAACTTTGGCATTTAAACGGGTCATCCAATGCAGATTAGGTTCTGTTTACATACTACGACGGTTATATGTGCAGTATGAATCGGAAATAAGGAATTAGCATTTGATGCTATTTAAGCTCAAATCCATTATCCTTGTTAGCCTGTCAGGACGAATCAGTACTTTACCGATTAGGCTACGAAAGCTGACTGCCAGACATTATTCAAATTTAGTCATAAGGCTACATTCTTCTTTATCCACTCTTTACCCTGCACCATCTTGTTTGTTTATATATATACATAAAAATAATAATGGTAATAATTAATTTAAGAAATTTAAGAAATATGAACTGAAAGACCATTACCGATAATGACATGCCTAAGAAGAAGATACCCGGAGTACTGACCATACATGTTATTACCCGATCCTCAGATAAACTAGCAGATATATAATGAAAAATAATAATCAAGAAGTTTTGATATTCAGAACTTTAAATGCAAGGTCAATCGCTATCTTCGGGTTTTTAATTCCTTTTTTTTTTTATTGTTCTCTCTCCTTAATAATGTTTTTTTCTCATATTCTCTTACATTCAGTAACTGCCTGGCGTCTTAGTGGCCTTATTGCCTTGCTTGGGGCGAAATGATTAAGAGAAAAAGAAAGAAGAGGTGATATTAGAAGCAAGCTGGGAATATTTTTCCGCCAAAATGAAACAAATTAATTCCATTTTGCATATCTGCATTATATTATGATTGATTTCTTTTCTTACATCATAATAGTGGTAATAATAAATCAAAAACTTCATTATTTTAATTTTCTATTTCCTTACTAGACTTGGATGGATGCTCTCATAATGCATATATACAGCATGGGTTTGTGGTCTGGCGTGGTACCAATGCTTGGGAGTCATCTTCCCAACAAGAAAGTCTTGCTGAACACGTAAGTATCATTCTAACTTCAGTAATGTCACCAGCATTTTAAGAAAAGTAGGGTTTAGTTTTAAAGAGATACCATATCTATGAAAGAGTTTCTCTGCTTAGTACGTATAAGGAATCAAAATGTAATTCTACTTTTAATGTATAATGACGACGGTAATCAAATTTCATAAATTATTTTGAATGGTGTTGATTACACGTGTCTGTATCTCACTGCAGTTAAATGGTATAATACATCATGCACCACTGTTTCATTCAAATTGAAAACATATATCATATTTTATTATAGCTGTTTCTTGCACGCACAATTCAGTTACAACAATTTAATTGAGACTTACCACCGAAAAATATAGCAGCGATATTCAATTTTTTCCTTGTTGCACAGTTGTGGCTATTTGAAATTGTATTCGTCTCTTACTCAAGTCTAATTATTCTGAGCTTTACGTAAATCGATTATATATATATATATATACATACACACATATATATATATATATATATATATATATATATATATATATATATGAAGAAATTTGAAAAAAACAAACAAAATCCTTAAATGTAGTTAAATGAAAAAATGTCGACGTCTGACGTTTCGGTTTATTAAACCTTTTCAAGACATCATTTTTAATAAACCGAAACGTCAGACGTCGACATTTCTTTCATTTAACTACATTTAGGATTTTGTTTGTTTTTTCAAAATTTCTTCATTCTGTCGGATTTATATCCATTTACACTTTGTTTATATATATATATATATATATATATATATATATATATAGATATAGATAGATAGATAGATAGATAGATAGATAGATATAGATATACACGAGCGAGTATACAAAAGTATTCGGCCAGATCAAGAAGTACTGATTTGGGGAGTGGGTCCAGCCTAAAGCGCCTTTCAGTAACTTCTTGTATATTATCTCTCTCTCTCTCTCTCTATATATATATATATATATATATATATATATATATATATATATATATATTTTCTCTATAACTCTCCTTTATATATATATATATATATATATATATATATATAGAGAGAGAGAGAGAGAGAGAGAGAGAAGCTATAGAAATGTAACTTATCCAAAAATGTCTTTATTCAACATCCACACACGCATGTATGTGCCAGCGCATGCGTGCATAAACTCACTTTGCCAAGAGTATTGAAATTTGTTAATAGATTCTTTCCGTCAAGTGAAACCACTAAACCATATCAACAAACACAAGGCTCATTATTGAACATTAAAAAAACTCATTTTAGCTGCTTTTTACATATATTTTTTTTATTTCAAGAAAGAAAATTCTATTTTGATTTAAAACTATAGCAATTCCAAGTTATGCGTGTACTGTAGTATTTGTTCGAAATTAAGTCTAGTTTGTATGCAAGCGCAGCCGTTTCTGTTGATTTTCCATTATAGAAAAAATAAAACTTAGTTGGTTTATTAAACGCATTTGTTTATTTATAATAAATTTATGTGAAAAGAAAAGGTGTAAAAGTTTGCTCAATTTCTTTATTTCAGCGCCTAATAAAATAAGCCTGGTAGAGAAAAATGTTCATAAAGTTAAAAATGTTCCTGGTAAAGGGAGACGTTATAGTTAATTTACTGAGCTGTCAAGAGTTGATAGGTCAATGGTAGTAACGAAGCATTTGTTGTTGAATGGAGAGTTCCGAATGAAAAATTATGGTATGATGTATCTTCGAGGAGGACTTGGTCTCTTTATGGATAATTTCAGAACAAATATTCAATTTTTAGTTTTGGCACGTCACTCGAAATTTAGGTTGGCCACGTGGTGTTTTGAATTTTTAAGTATTTTTTCGCTCTCTGTCGAAGATTTTACTTGATGTGTTTGACCCCCATCGTACCTGACTATTCACTTTTAATGAGGCGTGAATGAATAGCGATTTTAATTGACCGACAAACTTTTTTTATATTTCGGTCAGCAAGCTCATGAAAGTATCTTTTCAAATTATCGCGTTCTTCTGATTGGGGGACAATTATAAAAAGAACGAACTTTCTTCTCAATCATTCTTTTCCACAATATCCGATTTTTATTACCCTGATCCTGACACAGCGTCTCCATAAACAGGCTAACAATCAAGCCTTATCAAGAAAGGCCTCACTCGAACACACTATTGGTTAATAATGTCTTCGCCCTTAGGTAATGATAGGGGGTATAGGTTTGCATTTATTTAACATAAATCTTTAGACTTCTTTTCTACACAAATGACAAATTTTTTTCATAAAGTTCTTTTCAATTAGTATGATTTTTCCAAGTAACTTTTCAACTTCTTAGTGAGTTCACATCTCATTTGTGTGCTTCGTTATTGTGACCATTTTCCAGACTAAACTAAGTAAATACAGCTTCGTAAATAGCGTACTTCCAAAATAAGGGTTCATTCATTTATACTACTTAAAATATCATACACAATAAGAAAATACCTCAAGAAACAAATTAACTTTGCTATGATTTGAATTTCATGCTACAAACAGTTTAATCATAAGGCAATCCAATTAACGTTTACTTCTTTATGGTCGATTCATACGAAAAGGTTCTACAACGGATACTTTTCAGGCTTTATGCTTGTAATAAAATGTTTTTTTCTCAAAGTAATGTCACATGTATGTTATCGACAATTCAATAGATCAGTAGTAAGGCAATATTGTTGTAATTATCAAAACAGAAGAAGGCAATGGGTTGGGTACTGGCAAATCTTAAATTTACATGACTCTGTAGTATAACACAACATATTTTCCATTACAGAGCCTGGATGCTTTTGTTATTAATATATGGATTACTTCCACATTGGCTACTTGTAGCTATTGTACCCTATATTGACCCCAAGGATTTCGGTGGTACTCTTGCCTTTGTTCCAGGTATAAAAACAGGTATGTCAATATTATGTTGTTTTTATTATAACTGACAGAGAACTTCAATTTAAAATTAGTAACAAAGAAAAGAGTACTGAATGGTTACGTAATATCAGTCCTCATATACGACAGTGAATGTTGGACAATCTCCTCATAGATGAAGACGAGACTTGAAGCAACAGAAATGTGGTTCTACAGAAGGATACTGATAATATCATTGATCAAAGATATTAGCATCGTCGAAGTCTTAGAGAAAATGGAAACAAAAAGGACACATACTTAACATCAGAAAGAGACAGCTGAAACTTCTAGGAAACAATGAGGAAAGAGAGCTTGGAAAATATGACACTCACAAGTTAGATTGAAGGCAAGAGGGACAGAGGAAAACAACGGATAAGCTATCGAGCGAGCTTGTGTAAATGGATGGCAAAACAGGATTTATGAGAGATAAAAAAAAAGACAAAATTAATTAAGAACTACAAAGCACAGGTAATTGTGGAGAGCCATGATCGCCAAAGCCCTGAAGGGAAACATAATTTTTGAAAACGAGAATCCTTATGTATAATTTCAGCTGTAATATTTATAAATTTAATTCATTCTAAATTCTTACAAATTTATGCGTGTTTGCATAAACAGAATCATGACGTAAGTAAATAGTTAACGTTACTTAAATTTTGATAAAAATATCAATTTGAAGCGCTAATCGTTCAAAGTTTCTTGAAAAAATAAGAATCTATTGCACAGAGAAATGTTCTCCTAATATTCATTGACAGATATTTGGACAAAAACAATATAGTTCCGTGGAGGATGATGGAGTCTGCACATAGTGAAATGACTTGAAAATGGCAACTCAAAAATCCGATTGACTGACCTTCGAAGCCAAATAATTCTCCTGACGATAATCCGATTAAACTTATCGAGGTCATTTTGGATTGTAAAATAAGGAAAATACCCGGAAAAATTAAAGAAAACATACTGCCTGTTTTAAATATCTGTTTGTCGCATCTCGTGACAGAAAAGATGGCTGATCTAAAATAAAGTTTGATTCTTCAAGGAGTAAAATCTTTAAAATGGGAAATTTACTGAATTTCAATTTGTATAATTCTGTAATCGTTTAGATTTTTTAATAATTTTTAATAATCTTCTTTAGAAAATTATTTTTACTTTTGTTATGTATCTGTAGATCTTAATGAAATTGATACGCGTTTAATATTTTACGTATTATTTATAGATGAATGGGTCGTTTAATATATATATATATATATATATATATATATATATATATATATATATATATATATACACCCAATTAATTTTTGGCATAGTACTTACCTTAAACAGAAACATTTACACTGCTTGCAAGAACGCAGAAATATTACACTTGAGTAGCTGTTTATCTAAGTCTTACTATCGCATCGGATTTATTAAATAAATACCTAAACATTTTCATTAATTTTATTACATAAATAATGGCACAGCAAATTCTGAGGAAGGGGGAAATGAAACAATTTATCATTTAAATCCGCTATACGAAGGCAAGGCTTCTCTTTGTAATTATTTTTAGCGGGAACGTAAAAGAAAATATGATGATTAAACGTTGAATTTGGTAATTTATATTCCCACTTCGTATTATTATATTTCAGCACATACTGTGCTAATCAGGAAAATACATTTTCAGTGGAGGCAAAAATTAATGTAAACATTACTGAGATAGTAAGGTTTTTATATGCATAATTGTAGCTTTTGCCATGTAGTATTTGCTACATTTTGTTTCTATTTCAGGACTCCCTCTTTTGCTTGTATCAGTAGCCAACACTTTTGCCAAGTACAATCTTTCTCCGGCCATTGCCTTCTTTTTGTATCTCAGCTTCTTTCTGATTGCCATTCAACATCAGGTTAGTAAAGCCAATCGTTAATTATTGCCTAAATTCTATTCGCTAGTTTTTATCATTGCGCGTTTAGATGTTGCTTACTCTCTCTCTCTCTCTCTCTCTCTCTCTCTCTCTCTCTCTCTCTCTCTCTCTCTCTCTCTCTCAAATCATATCAGTAATATCTGGATCGTTTTAAAGAATACATAAAAGAAGCTCATTTATTTCAGTAACAAATACAACTCGATGTTATCATTCCAATTACGAAAATATAGAAACGCTAAGTTTGTGTTTACAGAAGGAATAAAGACTTCTCGGTAAGCATTTCTATCGTTATATTTATTCAGGAAAAAGCCCTATATAAAAAGAAGAAAAGAGTTTAGCAACATTTCTTATATGTATTTTTAGAGGGAAGCTACAACTGCCAATAATATCAAAACTGAGAACTATTTTTGGTTATCTTCTCTTTATTTACATTTACATTTTAAAAGTACTTACATAAATACTTTAGAATTGTACATCGTTTTTTAAAACTTCACAAAGAATTAATTGCAGTTTTGCCCTCTACTCTGAGATATTCATGGAAAATATCTGCGAAGTTTGAAACTTGCAGACATGTTTCTATTTCAATTGATACCTTTTCATTTCCTGGTCATCGAGCGTCTTACTGATTGCTATGATAAAAGACAACATTTATTTTTGTTTACTGTAGTCCTTACAATCGTTCAAGATATGTACAATGTCTATTGCTTTTAAAAAAAGCTCTTGAAAAGTTTCATAAAGGTCAATAGGCATTAATAAAAAAAAACATTTTCTTACATATATCAAAGTATCTCTGACGTGTAAATGTTTAAGTTCGTTTATTCTCTTTCAACATGTCACCCTGTGAAAAGTGTTCCCTTGTTTAACATTGAATTTATTTCTCATTAAATGAATATTGATTCAATGGCGATTGAGGTGAAAAGTTGATTTATATTAACAACTATAATTTCAAATAATTATCTTTAGCTTCAGTTAAAAATATACATTTTTAAGTGCTTTGTATTCATTCATTCTGAAATTTTCTAGACTTATTATATGAAAGGGAAAAAGAAAGCGACCTTTACGAAAAAGTGGTGACCATTCTATGACACAATATACACATGGTTGATTTTACAAGAGGTAAATGTAATATAGAATAGGTTGGTTTATCACTGATTTAATTCGACGTTGACAATGATAGGGAAGACATGCGAGATGGAAGCTTACAAGGGATTTTTATATAAAGATGTAAACGTACAATTCGGTTTCAGGTCCAGAAATATGAACATTGTAGAAAGATGAAAAATTCGCGTAAGAATATTTAGTCTCCATCTGTGTACTTATTAAGATTTAACTTAACCAAAATGAAAATAGAAATGCTTTTAATAAATTTGGATTGTTTGATATTTTCAAGACACACGCATACATAAACACACATACATACATACATACATACATACATACATACATACATACATACATATAATCATTTCACCCCAAGCAAGGCGATAATGCTATCAGGATGCTGGAGATTACTGGGAGTGGAAAAGAATGAGAATACTTTATGAAGAAGAAAGGACAATAAAAGAATGAAGTTTGCATTCAAATTTGTGAAGATTGGAGATGGCAGGGAAACAAGAAATCTAAATGGAGTTTCACAGGCGAGAATGTAAACAAAAAGAAACTATTAGAATAGAACATTCGGTTGCATTGAGCTAGTCCAACAGTAAAACAGTTGGACCGAGTTGCCAATCTAGTAGCACACTTAAATCCATGCAAATTTCATGTGAAATGATCTAGAAGTGTGTCCTTTCAACATGACTTTTATTACACAATTTGTGAGGAACGATAGGATGTAGCCAAATATTCGTCTAAGGACAACGTAACCTTTGAACTTGTGAAGAAGGCCAGCATGCTAGTCCCTGCCGAACGCCTTCATGATATCTAAAGCCACAGCCCAAGCCTCACCGTTCTTAATTCAGTGATGGCCGTTAATACATCGGTAGTAGACCTGGAGAAACAGAAGCTATATTGTTTCTCCGAAAGGAGATTGTGTGAATTGAGATGCTTAATCAATTTGGCGTTGATAAGAGCCTCTGGTACTTTGCCAAAAAGAGGTAGAAGACTAAATCGAGAGCTTCGATAATTTCCTAATTTCATAAAAACAGGAAAGGAATAAGCAGCATGGAATTTATTGTAAAGATTGCAAAGAACGGGAGCCTGTTCAGGGACAGGTTTCTTTAGGTCAATAGCAGGAATATCATCGAATCCGCGAGGATTGTGGGGATACAGATTATAAATGATAGCATAAACCACAGAGTTATGTGCATATCACTCAGAGGGAAAATCAGGAATAGATAGTACTGATGAGTCGAGAGTGGAGTTGGACGCGAATTTCCGAGCAAAACATTCTGCTTTATATGCATTATATAACAATATTTCAAATTATTGCAATGGGGAGGGGCTGCGGATTTGTTCTTGTTCAGTACACTCTTACAGAACCGACAGTAATTTCTGGAACCAAACTTGTAAGAGGCTATACAGTGTTTCACGCTGATAGATAGATAGATAGATAGATAGATAGATAGATAGATAGATAGATAGATAGATAGATAGATAGATAGATTTAAATATAGCGACTTTTCTGGAACTGGATTGTATGTAGACATTTATTTCCAATAAGTAACAAATAAACTCTGAGGTATATATAATTGACTATAAAAATGTCTCAACATTGAACCAAGCGCTTCTGTTTTTCTTTTTTACAGTTAAGTTCTCTGGTAAGCGACTGTTTTTGAACATTAATGTTATAAGTCGTTTTAAAAAAGATGTACTGCAGCAAATAAAAATGTGTACGTTCAAAGATATGTCAGGATTTAACTAAGGGCTAGTTATTTTTTTCTCTCGTTTAGAATTTTTTAGCTTGATTCTTCAGATCAAAGGTGCCGAATATTAGAATATTATGCGGGTCTGCCTCTGACGTCAAATATTATATTGATTAAATGTTATGCCTAAATAACATACCATACATTAAAGCGTGTGACTGTTTTATGCCTCTACCTGATTGGTAACAGTTCAAACAGAATTAACTTTTTGATGTAATAAACAAATATAAGGTTTATTGCTTCGTTTTTCCTTTTTTCCCTTCTCTTTCTTCTCTTTTACTGGCGTCTTCTTATTTCTTTCATCGATGCTTTCTACAGGTTTTCTTTGCTCGTTTTAAATTTCATTTCATTTTATCGTCTTTTCAATTTATTTGATTTTATTTTTTGGTTTTTATTCAGTACTTTGTTGGGCGGCTATTGGCTGTTTCATCTGCCTTGATTGAATCATCACTAAAAAAATAAAAATGATACCAACATACAAATGGTATGTAGCTAAAAAAGATGAGTGAATAGAAAAGTATATAAATAAATAAAATTTACTGTAAAAACGTAGAATAAAAACTTTCTGAAAGTTAAGATTAAAAAGAAAGCACCACTTATCATTCAAAAGGCACTTTGAATTTGAATCCTTAGTGATTCAACTAATGTTGAATGAACATTTTTCAAAACGGGTATTTTCACTTTCATATTTTTATAATAATAAAAAAGATGAAGGTCTTCTTCTTTTTCTCCTTCTTCTTATTATTATTGTCATCACTACTGCAATTCAGTTTCCCATTTTTACCCTTCCCTCTTGTTCGTTGTCATCATCTTTTTTCTCCTCATCCCACTACCATTTTTATTTTCCTTCTTCTCTTTCTATTGATTATGATAATGATTAACACTATTATCGTTGCTATTGTGACTATTTCTACTATCATCATAGTCATCATCATCATCATTATTAAATGTTTCCCTATTCGTAAGGAAGAAACAAGTAATAAATATATTATAACTTATTATCTAGTTTCCAACAATCTAACTTGACTTCCCAGCTTAACTACTGCAGACAATATAATATTTAAGCCTCTCATTGACACCGGATTTCTAGTACAAATGCTATCATTTGATCTTAATTAAAATTAATAGCAAGCAAACACTCTTTCAAATGGATATTTGCAAACACGAGAAGTTTTCTTCACACTGGGAATTTATTGAATTTTGCAAGAATTCATCAACGCAAGGACGAAACATTAAGTGGAAATCGTAAATCTTTAAATGAGATTTGTTATTACTATTCAAAGTGATTTAGAATTATCGGTTAATTTATCTTAATTTTGTGCAGAATATAGAATAAGAAAAAAAGGGAATAAAGCTGGATAAAGTTATAAGTTATTGTTTATTTAAGGAGAGTTGATAGAATAATCGATTAATTGAACGCCCAACCTATGACACAATTTTAATCGATTCCGGGTTTAAAGAATATGCACTTCTCGTCGGGTTGAAATAACGATAACATTACTCAAAATAAAAGAATAACTAGCATAAAAATATTTATGACTTGACATCGTCATTTTTGGAATTGATTCTTTTAATTAATATTGATTGAATTATCGATTAACTGGTCACTCGATCGGTGATATCTATGACACAATTTTAATAGACATTATCGATCCTTTATGAATAAAAAAAACATAGAATTCATTTAAATATATGTATGTGTATGTCTGTCTGTATGAGAGGAAGAGAAAGAGAGAAAGAAAATGCGTATGTGCATGGCATGTGCGTATGAGTAACTTTTACATAATCTGATTACTATCCAAGTTACTTTGACAGAGAGTTGAAACATTTTACATTGCCCGTAATGTCGCTATTAATTAAAAATGCTACATCACTAAAATTGTTACTCTCCTTTCCCCTATAAGTACATAGATTCTTACTTATTTTCAGCTGTAATAGATTGTCTTATTTCTTGTGATTATTGCCAATATCTACCGTGTATGATGAAGTTATTCCTTTACATCAACATTTGGTCCAATTTGTATTAATCAGCTATCCTTTCAATGTTATATGTGTAGATCTTCATGTTCTTCTTGATATTATTTACTATCTAATCCTCTTCTTTTTTACTTAGTGTCAGCTTACTACCCGTGACACATTGCCCACGGGTACAATAGGATAGTGCGCTTGAATGTTTATTAGAGGATTGTCCAACATGAAAATTACGATATATATTCAATTTTATTGCCTTTTCGGTTCGATTTCATTCGTTGCTTCTAATTCCTAGTGAGCTTGATGGATTGGTTATCCCTGATTTTAATCCGAATCACTTTAGAGCCAAATCGTCCCCAATAAATCATTGTATCCCAGTAGAGAATATGAATAACAAATTGAAAACTATGATAAACAGCAAAGATAATAAGAAAACTACAAAGGAAAATACTCAAAGAATTGTTGAAAAATAAGACAAACCTGAAATGTAGAATTAAACAATTCAATAAAAATTGAGATACGAAAACTTGGAAGCTACCACACACGGACACACAGTGAGACACACTGTGATACACACAGTGAGACACACACAAACTTGAAACATGATCGGTTCGCAATAATGATTTCTACTAAAAGACATAAACGGAGAAGTTACCAAATTAAATTAAGGGTAACCGAGGTTCGCTATGCAAACTTGTATACTTAAAAAAAAACTATCACCAACTATCACAGGTCAGAGAATAGTGCATTTTCTGAGGTAAAGACAGATAAAATCATTTCCTCAATATGTAGAACACACAAAAGCACTCGATGCACATTGTATAGCAACAGAACTTTTTCATGGTGCAGGAAAATAATTCCATAACGGATTAACATAGCTATTTACACAAGGCATACAGAAAAAAAAGAAACATGCCGCGAAACTGGACTATGAATAATAATCCTACTATATAAGAATAATGAATTAATAAAGACTTTGGTAACTATCGCCTTATCATATTAATATCAAACACATAAAACTTATTCTGGCAGTTAATTATAAACAAACTAGGAAGAAGCTTAAATTAAAATTTTACGTGAATAAACGGGTTTTAGGAGTGGCTGCTCAACAATAAACAATAAATCAACTGATTGAAAAACTGAATGCAACAAATCACTATGATAGCAGAGTCTTAAGAAAATTTATATAAAATTTATTGAGAAATTATTCGATAAAAAGAATTTGTGAGACGAGGAGATACGACTTCAGCTAAAGGACCTGAATAGGGAAAGTTTTAATGTACATTTGAAAATGAACAGAAATAAAACAAATATTCAATTGTAACAGTGTGAAAAATATAATTAGAAAAGGAAGAAACGAAAGAAGTTCAAATATACATATATTTAGAACAATAACCTTTTTTAAAAAGACCACGAAAAAGAAATAAAAGACATATAACAATAAGAAACATTTAATAAACATTCCGGTACAAATCATGGAAATTAACAAAATCAGTTGAAATCAAACCCAGAATGGCTCAAACAGCAATGTAAAGAGTAATGCAATGAGTAATAAGATTTGGAGAAGAGAGGAATGATTAAACGACAAAAATGGAAGTGAACGAGGCACATAATCAGAAGAAAAGATGGAGATGATCGTTTGATTGACGCTGAATGGGTAGCAAACATTCGGAAGAGACCATTAGATTGATGTGTAAGTCAAATCCACCGTTGTCATGTAAATATTATGAACATTTCTTTGTTTTTGCAGTATATTATCAATGGCCGCTGATAATTATGATGAGATATTCAAGAGTGGGTGGTAAAAATGTCTAGGTCGGGTACATTCCAAAAATCAGTGAAAACGACGAAACATCAGATTTTGGTGGGGAAGGGATTCTTTATCGGACCGATAACTTATTAGCGACTCTTCGCATACATATATAGGGTGGTTAATATATATATATATATATATGTGTGTGTGTGTGTGTGTGTGTGTGTGTGTAAAAGTTTGATTGAAGCCCAACGAATGTTATTTTTAATTTTTTTTATTAATTGTCCAATCACAAAAACAGACTGCAGTGTTCCATAAATTCTGATTGGACAATCTTATTTCGAATTGTAGTGGATTTTCAAAACAAATAACATTCTCAAATACTTAATATCTATCAGCGTTATTTTGTTTTTATCTTTAATTTTTCATGTTACGATGTATCGATCAAGTTGTTGTCCTAAAACTATGTAATAATGCTAATTTCTCTTTTTATTTTTTTCCTGTTAGATAATCCACTTGCAAGCCGTGCTGGACAGTTTCATGATGTCATTGCCGACGGTGGTTCACAAATTTCTCAACAGGCGCGAATACACAATAGCTCTCTTTTGTTTCTTTTCCTTCCTTATCAGCTTATCTTGTATGAGTCAGGTACGTTGCAAGCATTCACACCAAACGCTTCATAATCATTCTCAGACAAAAGAAACGCGCATAATATATTAAATAAACATTATTCCATTAACAAAAGAGTATTATACATTTACTGATATTTTGAATATATGCATGTGATTGAGTGATAGAAAAAGAGATTATATATATATATATATATATATATATATATATATATATACATACACATATATACGCACACACACACACACACACACACACATATATATATATATATATATATATATATATATATATATATATATATATATATATATATATATATATCCAGGTAGGATGAGAACGAATAGAGTATAATTTCAACGTTCGTAACATTTAATTTAAAAGAGGGCTCAATACAACGGATTTTCTTCATGTTATGTTAGATCTCGTTAATGATATATTTCAACCGTATATGAAAAATAATGCCAACCCAATTTATATTCTCCCTAATTCTAACCACCCACTATCTGTAATCCAACATATACCTTCGTCTTTAGAACGTAGGATTAGCAACCTCTCACTGGACAAAGAGGTATCTGATAAATATAGCAGTGTGTATAATAAAGTTCTAAAAACTAGTGATAATAAGTGTGCTGAAATTGTAGGAATTCTGACCAATGCCCATTGCCAAACAAATCTCTTGTTTATCGTTGTACTATCTCTACAATCGAGAATCCAACATTTGAAAATGTCTATATTGTTAGTACTAAGAATTCTTCCAAGACTATGTGGTATCAACATGTAATTTCTTTTACTAATAATACTTATAGAAATAATACATCACTTTCTAAATAATTTTGGAGTTTGAAAGATGATAATAAAACTCCTAAAGTGAAATGGGAAATTTTAAAAATGGCAAGGACATGTAGACCCTTATATGAACCTTGTTTTTTGTGTTTACATGAAAATTTGGAAATTATCATGTTCTATGATAAGAATACTTTATTAAATTAAGGATCCGAGTTAAATTGTAAACACAGCCTACCTTTTACCTTACAATTCGATTAGACTTGGAATTTGGCAATGTTCTTTCTTAGATTTTAGTTGAACTCTGTTGCACCATATATGGCTTATCTTTCTATTTGTAAGATTAATTTGGAATTAATATAATTAGTAATGGTATTTGGTTGGTATTTTTGACAATTTACATTGATTGGTTATTGTGATTAACATCTTATATGAAGAATCTATAGTCAACAGCTGCATATTAATTTTCAAAGAGAAGAAGCTATTTATTTATCAACTATAGAAAAAATATTGTAGAAAACTTGTTTTTCATTTTGTTAAATTCCCATTCCACCGCATTTTTCGTAGGAAATGGCATTGACTAGTGTGTATAATTCATGTATCCATTAACATCCGCTGCTGTTTAATGTCTGTGCATGACGTTAGTTGCCAATCTACAGATCATAGCCCATTTATAAAAAATATTTTTTTTAATTTTTTCTTCTTTGCTTAGTTTAAATTTAACATAGGTCATATTTGATTGGTTGACCAGAGTAAGGCCTCAAACCTTATAACCCCCCGCTTTATTTTCGTAAATAGTAAATTTTGCTTTTAAATCTAAATAAATCGTTCAGTCACCAGTAATTTACAAACGCCTGATGAGATGCATATTGATACGCACCGAAATACGACATTGTGTAGCGATTTTGAAATGTTTTCGGTGTAATATCCTAAAATAAGTAAATATATATCATTCGCAGACAGTAATTTTTCGCTGTATCACAGCTCCTCAGCGCGACTAGATATCCGAATGCCTCCAGCCAGGACCGAAATCCAACCGATTTGGTGTCAATTATTATTTCTACTACTAAGCCATCATCACTCGGCAGAGAGAAACAGCTAATTCTAGAGTATTGTTTTTACGAATGCAAACAAACGCCAATCTGCTACCCCCAACTATGATGCTAAGGTCGAGTTGTTGAAGGCTTCCTGTAGGAAGAATATTCCAAGGTGATGTTGCACAAATTACACACAGGGCCTCTCCGACGGTGCAAAGGAGCTTTACGAAGAGTACACTCAACTCTTTGAAGATGACGCCTTTGGCACTAACACCTTGAAATAAGGAGATACCCTGATCAACTTTATCAATGAAAGCAGGCAGAAAACGTACAGACATCACATATGGCAGCAGGAAAGTCTGAAATACTATATGGATATTGGGAAATAACTACACAAAGTCCCAGCCAAAGTCTCAAGTTGCTGCCAACCAGGTCGCCCACTAGCTTCTACTCAACAGCTGAAGTAACCCAAATAACCATTTGGAGACCAAATTTGCCCAACATAGTCGTGTCCAGCCAAGGTCCTTCACAAGAAATGAATTGCAATTAAAGTTATGAAAAACAAGAAGGCCTCGAAGACATTTTTGTTGAGCAGATTAAACACTTGAACTAATGAATACATGAGTTCCAACAAGATCCTTTTTATACAGAGGAAAGCTAAAGTAATAGTACTACTAAAGCTCGGTAAAGATCCTACCAGCTTCAAGAGCTACAGGTTAGTTTCCCTCCTTTGCCACACCCATAAGCTCTTTGAACGTCTCTTCTTAAACCGTCCAAGTTCGTCCATAGATGCTAAGCTCATTCCAAAACATGCAGGCTTCAAACTTGGAAATTCTTGCACTAGTCAACTCCTGAACCTAACACAATTCATTGAAGATGGGTTTGGGAAAGATGCGATCACGGGTGCTGTATCCGTTGACATTTCTGTAGCATATGACATTGTCAACCTCAGGATCCTCACGGGGAAATTGAAACAGGAAACTGACCTTCGTCATCCGCACCACGGCAGTTAACCAATGACAAAGAGGCTTAAATCAAGACATTCAGTAGAACCACTGAACAACAGAGCTTCTAATCAACGTCTGTCCCTGTGGCATAGTCACCTTAACAACGTGGAACACAGCCTCCTTCTCTGCCTTACAGATTCCCCACCACTGGCTCTACACACAGGGCCTTTTTATACAGAGGCCTGGGCCTACTGGTCCTGTCTGAACCGTTTCCTTGCAGCATTAGAAACATTTTCTAGTTTTCCCCAGTCTTGAAGATTCATTCTCACTTAATGATCTTGAAACCTTAACATCCCAAGCAAGGATCTGGATAGGTGTAATGTAGCGATTCAATAAGAAGAAAAATAGTGTTTTGCAAATAAAAAAAAATGAATAATATTGTGTATTAGTGGATGCTGACGCTTTTTATGAAAACAATCTCTGTAAACAAAGTGCACTTTATTAAGAAATACCACATTAATAGTAAATAAATAAAAATTTAAAAATTTAATCTCCTGGCTTCATGTTACCCAGAAATTAATCCGCCCATGAGGAGTTAAATAAATCAATTATTGATTTAATCGATTTATCATATTCCTGATGAACGGATTAATTTCAGCGAAACTTGAACTTGAAGAATATTCCAAGGTGATGTTGCACAAATTACACACAGGGCCTCTCCGACGGTGCAAAGGAGCTTTACGAAGAGTACACCCAACTCTTTGAAGACGACGTCTTTGTTACTAACACCTTGAAATAAGGAGATACCCTGACTAACTTTATCAATGAAGGCAGACAGAAGACGTACAGACATGACATATGGCAGCAGGAAAGTCTGAAATACTATAAGTATTTGAATATTTTAAGAGAGACAGAGGAAATCAACGAATAACCCACCGAACAAACCTAATGAGCTTGTGTAAATGGTTAACAAAACAAGGATTAGGAGAGGTATCATAAAGACAAAACTTACAAAGAACAGAAATCTATAGAGACGCCCACTCTCTTGAAGGGACACGGAACATAGAAGAAGAAAACTTATATATAGCTTCAGTTACGGAATTGACGTCACTATCAATAGATTTCATCTGTGTGTATGTGTGTATGCACATAAACACACATATGCAACCATGAGCATCTTCTGATTCATAGCTGTAAATTTCTGTCCAGCTATATATGTGTGTATCTATGTGTTTGTGTGTATGTTAGTGCTCGGGCACCAGTGGTTACATATATGACTCTATGAGTATACAGGTACATTTATGCATTTCTATATAGTAAATAATATGAATTTGCATGTTTATACCAGATGTCGGATGATTGTTGCTGGGTATCGACTGACAATCATGTTCCTGCACCTTACTCATGTTTTTTTAGTTTTTCAATATTTTTCCAACCTCATTAGTGCTGTGCACTGTCTCAACATTTTCTCGAATCTCTTGGAACCGTTTTAAAAATATTAGAAGTGACTTTGAAGGAATTAATTTTCACTTCTACTATTTTAAGAACGGTTCCAAGAGTAGCATTGATTATGAACACAGTCCTAAACTTCATGTCTAAACTTCTACAAACTACTGACATTATTTTATTTAATTTAATTTTTACTATTCAATTCCAACTATGTCTATGACTTAGTAGTCTTTCTTTTCCTTTTTCCCAATTAATAAATCCTGTTTGCCGTCATGGATGGTGTTGTGCCAGTCTGGATCTCGAACCCAGCTTATTTTTCTCGTTTTATTTTTGAGAACAGCTTCTAACTTGTTCTCATATCATTTGTTTATGTAATCGAACACACGGAATCTTCATGCTTTTTTTTAAGCATTTCACCTTAATCAAGGTGGGAGTGCCATTAGCATGCAAGGGGTTTACAGAGAATGAAAGTAAGAGTAAAGAGGAGGGTTTAAGGAAATGATAAAGAGAAGGACGGGAATCAAGGTCAAGGCATCAGAAGATATTGATTGTCATTACATTTGAATATTTAAACATTATAGTTATCAGGGAAGCAATTAAGAGGAAGGGAGTTCCACTGTCGAGAAGTGCAAGAGAAGAAGCTGTTGAAGCAGAAGAGACGGTCATATTTAACTGTTTTGTCAGTGAAAGGGTAGGACCGAGATACCAACCTAGTAGCACGCTTAAATTCATGCAGTTGGGGCACCAGTGAAAATAGCTCGTCAGAGCGGCTGCCATGAAAATATTTGTAGAAAAGACAGAAAGAAACCACATCACGTCTGTGTGAAAGTGACTGGAGTCGAGATGCCAGGCCAGGACCTATCACATTGCATATCCATCTGTGGATTTTTTGAGAACCTCGAGATGAACAGAGGGGGTACCAGACCATACATGGCAACAGTATTTAATGCAAGGACGAATAGTAGATTTGTAGATTTGAAAGATGGACTCAGACGAGAAAAAACCTTCTGGTGCGACACAGAGAACCCACTTTTCTTGCGGTAGATGAAGCTATTGATTCAATGTAGTCGTTCCACCTCACTTCAGTGGAAAACGTGAGACCAACAAGGCACAGAGAGAGTCTCTCATGAAGTTGAGCATTAGCCATGCTGATAGCAGGCAAGGCGGTTTCTCTATGCTGGGTAAATGAGAGGAGGTCGTATTTATAGTCAGTAATGTTTCACATGAATCGTATTTGGCGAATTTTAATCGATATCAAGATTCCTCGGTGTTTTAAATTTCTCTTCACTATTCTGATTTTATTCAGTCATGTTAATTTCAATTCTTTCTCAAACTTTTAATTATATTTCCATCTCTTCACAAGGCCCTCCGAGACTGTTTCAATCATACCAGTAATTCATTCAATCTCTTTGTTTCCATAATCACTTCTCTGGCAAGATATTTTCACTCACTTTTGATTTCACCCTATGCTATGCTGAGACAACTTTCACATTCTGACAAATCTTCTTACCGAAAGCGATTTAACCATGAAGTTTTGACGCCATCATGGAGATATAGCTACAGTCATATAGTTACTCTCTTTATCCTATTATTCACGTAATATTGTTTACTATATAGTCGTTATCTAATAGTAAATAAGTAGTTTGGATTCGTAATATGATGTAAAAAAAAAAAAACATTATGAATTTTGAATAGTTTTTATATCATCGTTATGGTTGTTTATGTTTTATCACTAAGCACAGGTCGTTATATTCTACAACCATTAAAGTAAGCAGCAGGAATCGAAAATAAAAACATACGCATATATACAGTATTTATATTAGTCGGACTATTGTCCTCATCTTTGTCGCCATATTTGTCACAGCGTTTCGGCCGTTGTACGCTCCGGCCTTCTTCAGGTGGATGGTATTTTGAACTGAACCCTTTATTTCGATCCCTGGGGGTAGACTGTTCTAGTTCCACGTGCCATGTTCGATGGATGTCAGTTATCAGTTATCTCCTGCTAATTTTCCCTCTGAAAGTTCTCCACTGCCTTAACCTGGTATTGAACTCACACTCTTTGGGTCTATCACTGGATCTAACCAACACCTTTATCCTTGAGGTCATCTGGGTATGAATTTCTGGGTATTATAAACCTAATGTTTTCAGCAACCATTTTTACCAGTGCTCATATTGCAATTTTGCTGTTATCATTACATGTTTTTACCAGAGCTCATATTGCAACTTTGTTATCATTGCTTTTCTCTTAAGGAATCAGCACATATGCTAGGCCACAAAAATCTCCTGAGCCGACCAATCATAGAAATAAATACAATATGGGAACCAGTAATAAGGAGTGCCAGAGAAAAGCAAAAGGAGATAACTGATAACTGACATCCATCAAACATGCCACGTGGAACTAGAACAGTCTACGTTGTGACAAATATGGCTACAAAGATGAGGACAATAGTCCGACTAATGTAAAAACTGTACATAATACCTCATCTCAGAAATATAGATATACGCATATATCTTGTGAATCTGTCCGATAAATATTATTATTTTTTATATAATGTATATTATTGTATATAATGTATTCCGGTTTATTATTTCTTGTTCCTCGGTGTTTCAGTGATATTTCTTTTTCTTTTAGGGCGGCTTCCATCTTTACACCCTCGTGAACAATTACGTTGACAGGTACCTTTCTGTGCTCATCATTATGACAATGGTTCCTTTCATTATTGGTTACAGTAAGTATTTTCCTGTTTTCTTTTTGTGTCTGCTTCTTTCAATAAACCGATTCTAAACTTTCTGAAATGTTTAGAGTACACTTCTGCCTTTTTAAGTGTTTCCTACTATTAATTGAAAAATCCAAACAATTGTGTATTGCTTAATATTTTTAAGTCTAGTTTAGGTGCTAAATTTTCCAGAAATCAAAATATATTAAACTGAATATAAAAACGAAATCTGAATCTCAACTGCATAGTTCAACTTGTTGAAAAATCATTGTGAAAACCTAGCAGCTCGTTAATTTTTTACAAATTCTCTTCATGAAAAGAGAGATAATTACAAAAAGAATAAACAAGTCTGTATTTCTTGGAAAGGAAAATGACGAGAATTTAGAAAATCTGGATATGTATATTTTCTAAATTGCCGTCATCTTGCAACCCAAGAAATTAATTTTTCTTTAGCTTGGTAAATATTGCCGTGAAAAAAAATCAGTTTAATTGACAGATGTCATGAATGATTCGATGTTGTCATGATCCAGTTTTACTGCAGAATATGATAAGTTCGTGGTTTTCGCAGTCATACATCCATTCATCATCTTTCGGGTATTACATAATTTTAATTAAGTTCGAAGTTTAAACATGGATAATTTGTGTCGTTTTCAGTCAAACAAGAATCCCTTCACTTCCCAATTGAGCGAGCTTGTATGACAATGTGGTTTGGAATAGCTTCACTCACATCTGCAGTAAGTATTGTTTATCATTATTATTATTTATTATTTAATATAAAAGTGTATTTTTGTTTATATCGCCGCACATGGCGAAAATTCCAAAGCTGCTGATTATCAAAAAAATACTTTTATAATGTTTTTATTTATTCTTTTCAAATGTTCATAAAAGTTCAATATACATACATAACATATACAACATACTCAAATATATAAACACATAACTAAAATATACTCACATGTATAAACACATACCTAAAATATACTCACATGTATAAACATATACCTAAAATATACTCACATGTATAAACACATACCTAAAATATACTCACATATGTAAAACATACCTAAATTTATTTATGTCTATATGAAAAAGTTTTGAATTTATTATTTTTCCTCTAACAATTTTTTTCTCTTTCAAATTCAAGGTCATTTTACTGATTTCGTTTTGCAAACGTTTAATGAGGCACGATGGATTAATGGATAGTGGTTCGTTTTAAGGAATCGGAGAGCCGAGTTGGAATTTCAGTCAGCTACATTACATTCACTTACGTACTAAGACTAGGAATGGTACAACAGATAAATTCAAAATTTTAAAAATATATATATATATATATATATATATATATATATATATATATATATATATATATATATATATACATATATATACATATATATATATACATATATATATATACATAGTTTTAAAAACTAGAAACCATTGATTTTAATATTAAAAGTCTCTAGATCCTTTCAGCCAACATCTCATCAGGAGACAATCGTTGGATTAGCGAAATGAATAATAGCGATATTGAAAAAAAAAAAAAGAGGGGGGAAACACACTAAAATAACGAACAAGTATATATACTTGTAACGAGGAAGGGTTATCGTGTAAATAAATAGCGAGGGACAGTTAAAATAAAATATCCCCAACAGATTCAGAGACTTTATAAATTCTTTCTGCCGGCAGAGAGAAAGTTTTCTAAATCCTATACAGACCGATTCCAAAATCGTCAAATGATTATTGGAATCGGCTGTATGAATAATTCTAAACCACTCTTTTTTCTTTAGAAGAAAACCACTCTTTTTTTTGAAGATTTTGGAATCGGTCTGTATAGGATTATTCATTTCGCTAATCCAACGATTGTCTCCTGATGAGATGTTGGCTGTAAGGGCTCTAGAGACTTTTAATATTAAAATCAATGGTTTCCTAGTTTTTAAAACTATTTATAAATTTTGTACCTCCAAACATTTGTTTATATATATATATATATATATATATATATATATATATATATATATATATATATATATATATATATATATATATATATATATATATATATATATATATATATATATATATATATATATATATATATATATATATATATATATATATATATATATATATATATATATATATATATATATATATATATATATATATATATATATATATATATATATATATATATATATATATATATATATATATATATATATATATATATATATATATATATATATATATATATATATATATATATATATATATATATATAAGACTCCCCAATTCGATTATCACATCTTCGGTCTTCCTACGCGGTCTTTTTTCAGAAAGAATGAAGAAGCTCGTTGAACAATACCAGAAATACATCGACATGTGTGGGAACTATGCATTTGTTCTTTATCAGGAGAAATAAAAGTGTTGTATAAAGAAATTGCCTTTACTTTTTGATTTACCCTGATATATATATATATATATATATATATATATATATATATATATATATATATATATATATATATATATATATGATCTCAGAACAAAAAGTCGGCAAAACAGAATCTCAAATCAATAGAAATTTACAGATATTGCAGAAAACTAATTACGAGCTGTAAAAAGAGAATTTTCAACCAATCTTTGTTGCTTTGCGTAAATTCAAAATCTTCGAGCCTATATCCAGTTAAAGACAAATACATAAGAGCCTTTGCAACAAGTTAAGTTCAGTGAATTCAAACATTCCGGCAAGTGTACTCAAATTTGCGTTAAGTCTCGATCTTTTCACATAAATGAAGCGGTTACAAATTGATAAACTTACCGAAGACTTAAACTATGGGAGTGGTTCTCGAAATCGTTACTTTTGTACTCCCTTTTCTCCTGCAAACTGTGATTAATGACTTTTATTAAAATGCATGAACCTATTCTATATCAGACACAGTTTCATTTCTATGAACATTTCAAATAGTATTATGAAGAGTTGAATTCACAGAAAATCAACTTACATACACCTTTACATGTATAAAGCTTTTTGATAAATATATCGCAGTTTTAAATTTTACCATCTTTACTTGAACTTTATTTAGTATATGTATTGCGACTATTGTTAATTATTAACGCTGTAATAAAAACATTGAGAAGTTGTTATTAATGACGATTTGTAAAACAAAAGCATATGTTTTTAATTTTTAAAAGCATATGTTTTTATTATGTTATATTTTGCCTGATTGTCTTTCTAGATCGAAAAGAAAACTCAGTTGATTGGTCTTTTGTTCTGTTTTCAGTGCTTGCTTACTTACTTTATGGTGATATTCGTATACGATACACCCGTCGTTGGCTATGATCAGCGTTGGGCTGAGGGCCTTGGATGGATGATCTCTACTGCTCCGATTGTCTTGGGACTCCTCATTGGTACCATCTTCGTTCTGCGCCAGCAAAAAGGAACATTTAAAGAGGTAATTTTCACATTCATTTTTCATCTTCCCATTTCAAAGTCAGTTTAATCGTTTTTAATTGTTTTTTCTGTATAATGATAAAAGGATTTATGACACATCAACATAAATATGGACACACACACACAAAAGTATTCACACATATCTATTTTTTTATATATACATATTGAAATGCACATATGCGTGTATATGTACAAACACACGCTCACCTAGCTGTAGATACATATATGCAGAAACACATGCTATGTAGCAGGTATATACACTGATACACAAAGCTATACATATACTCACGCATTATTTTATCGATTAATATTTTTCAAGAGAAAACGTATTTTCTAAAATTCTCATGGCTTTGTAAAAAACAAATATGAGAAATTATAGAAATTAGCGAAAATAGATTTCAGAAATTATTGTAATTATAGAAAATAGATTTCAGAAATTATAGAGTTAAAGAAACAAGATTTACTCGTGAAATTTCCCTTCCCTAATTCGCTAATCATCAAACGATTCTAGTTAATGATCCGACATAATCGCTTTGTTCACATTAGCTGATTATAACGTTTTGTTTTTAGAACAAGCCTCCAAAAACGAATACCAATAACAAAAGGTCTTTTTAAAAAACAGACATTAGAGAGGAACTTACTTCACTCTCAAGATTATTTGCATTATATCTGATCTAATTATGAGCTTGTTTTTTTTTGTTTTTGTTTTTTTTTTGTTTTTTTAATCTTCTAATGTTAATCCAAAGAGCCACTCACGGTAGCGGTTAGACGGTTACTTGAAGAGGTCAAGATTTAATTAGTGAATTAAGTCAATCAGTCAGAGACGTTAGAAGTATAGTGTAGAGGTAGACTTTAGAAGGAACCGGAAACCCAATACTAAACAAGAGACAAGGGATAAAATCCTACACCTATTTAAAAGATTGGGGAGGAGTGTGAACCAGACGATAAGCGAACCTATCTATTCCCGTTGGGGAAGGACAAAAATAAAATAAATAATTAGGGGATAAAATTTCCGAGTTCACGCGGAGACATTAAGAGTTGAAATAATAGCTATGTTGTGCCAATTATTATTTTTAGGTTATTTTTAGTATAATTCTTTTATTAAACAATCAAGTTGTTTTTTTCTTTATTTCGCAATTTGCAAAGTGGTAGTAGACTGATAAATAGCACACTCGTCTAAGCATGACGCACAAGTTTGTAAAATACGTCTCCATGAAAATGTTCACAAACCTACCAACCCTCCCAATAACTTGAAAGTCAATTTAATACACATACCATTAAAAAAAAAGCCAAGGCATTTTTCTAGATTAATATTTTTACATGTAAAATAATACAACGTAATTGAAAAAGAAATTTGACGTCTTAGGAAAAACGTTTCATCGAAGATATTTTAAATTTTAACTTTAATCAAATTAAAATTTGTACATTTTGGTTGTATTAGAGACCAGCACAAATGAGCATCTACGAAAACGTATTTACGTGATAATACCTTGTTAAAATAACATTAATCTGTTTAGGTGTTATTGCGTTTTAATAATAATAATTTTATTCGTTATTTCATGAAAAGACGTTTTCATCACTTTCCAGCAAACTTGATATTATATAAGTTTTTGAAGTTCAATTTTACGTCTTTCTCGATTTGTTTAACTCTTTCGATCCTAATGAAGCATATATTTCCCAAGAAAATATCGCTTAATGTAGGCACCTCCATTTTTTCACGGAAAACAGCATAGCGTAATGAAAAGGCCACAAACTTAATAAAAATAAAGTTTTATGGTCAAAATGTTTATGTTATTATTAAGATGAAAGTGCAAAGTGTTATTTTATTATTTTTTGAAATTTTTTAATCCTTTCTAACACATTCCAAATTTGGTTAAAATCTTGTTTTGTTTACGTCATCGGGTTGGCATAATAATTACATTGACTTTTTGGCGCTTTTTTTCGTTGAAAACACATTGATTTGAAAATTCTTGAAAAATCAAATAATTGTCCGATTTCAATGAAATTTTCAGGACTTATTCACAAATGAACGAAATTATTTTTGAAATTTTTTTAGAAAATTTTGGTAATACACACGCACTTAATTTCATGAAATTTTGCAAAAAACCTTTCTATTTCCTGAAGTTATTTTATTCGTTAAAAGTAGAACTCTTTGGAGAATGTTAATTGCCTAACTTTTTTTTCAAACTTGCACTATTCTAACTGAAAATCTGCTCCGAATGGAAAAATAATGAATGCAATAAAACTATGATATTATTTACTTAAAAAAGCTTGTAATTGCTTTTGTAAATAATTTATATTAAGGACACTATTGTCTGAAGAAATAAATTTTTTCGGATGAATAATGAACTTTTATAAAAAATTTTCATTTTTTTAAAATTTTAATTATAATAATTTATAACAGTTTAAAATTGTGTAAAATTCTGTACTGGGCTAATTCCTGGATGTTGTATAGTAATTAAGTGAAAACAAAATTTACTAATCCAAAAGGAAAAAGATTAATAAATGTAGTTACATTATTCGATTTTTAAAATTATTTTATATTTTATTTTTTTTTAAATATTTTTTATAATTTTAAAAAAATTATTTTTTTATTTTTTTACTTAATTTGTTCCCTTTTTCATCTATGAAAGGCTAAACTAAGGCTAAAAGTTTTGTTTCTTTATAGAGAAATTAATTTAAGAAAATTTGTAGTATTTTACATTTTTTGAATTTTTTGAATAAAGCATCTTCGAAAGGTAAATAAAAGTCAATAAATTATTAGATAATTGCGGAAAATATGTACATTTGTAAAAATTACTATGAAGTTAAACCTTCCACCCCCAAAATAATGCGTTCACTTAGATTTCGTAAATCGCTGTGATCGCTTCGTCACTCAATCGCCCATCTATCATAGCTTCAGAACGCAGCCGAACAATAACAAATGTTTGTATATTATTTTTTTAATAGTAAGCAATATTTATTTCAAATCAGATTAATTTAACTTTAAATTTTCTAATTTTACTCAAATAACGTGTCGGAAATACATATATATTTTTAGAAGAGTTTTAAAATCGATAATTTTTTTTAGTTTACAAATTTCTTAAAGTTAAGAAAATGGCCGCTTTTAAGAAAATTTTAAGAAATCTAAATTAAATTTGACATTCCAATAAAATTTCTATCTGAAATACACCAGAATATTTTACTTACTGGAAATAATAAATTAAAACCTTTGTAAAGGACCGGGGGGTGAAGATGAAAAGAAAACGTGCGTTTATATTTCCTGCTAGAAGAACGTCCAACTACAATATGAAAATGGCGGACTTGAATTAAGTCCAACTGAAGATAAAGAAGACAAACAAGACCGATATATATATATATATATATATATATATATATATATATATATATATATATATATAAACAAATATATGTATTAAACAAAACAATTTTACAATGGACAATAACATTTGTGTGTGTGTAACGCTGGTGTTTGTTCTTTGGTGAATGTTCGTATTTTGGTGGATATTCGTACGCACGTGTATGTGTGTATAATGTTCATGGCGACTTCCCAGAAGTGGGAAACGCTATCTCCTAAGAGTGCTTACATTGTAGTCGTTGAAATGAAGAAACGAAAAAGAGGATTTACCTCTCCTCCACGCGAGGAGGGATGCGACACGAGGCCTGAAAGAAAAAGAACGAGGCAAGAGGTCACCCAGTACTTATAGTATAGGGAGAGTGACCCCTAGTGACAATTTGGGAATTAAAGAGGAGCTTTATTTACATTATTCGGACAAGGCAGTGGAGAACTTTCAGAGGGAAAATTAACAGGAGATAACTGATAGCTGATATCCAGCAAACATGGCACGTGGAACTAGAACAGTCTACCCCAGTGAGTGAAATAAAGGGTTCAGTTCGACATTTCAACCACCTGAAGAAGGCCGGAGCGTACAACGGCCGAAACGTTGTGATAAATATGGCGACAAAGATGAGGACAATAGTCCGAATAATGTAAATAATGTACATAATACCTCATCTCAGAAATATAGACAGACTCTAAGGAGGAGCTAACTCCAATACATTTAGCTTTCAATTAAAACTAAAATGAAACTTTCAAGAACGCTTTTTCATTTTTAAAAATTCATTTTAATC